GATCCTCGGATGGTCGTGGCAGCCATCAAGAAATGGAAGATTCTCACCCCTTTGCGACCGTCGCTTGGGTGGTTCGTCGCATAAATGAACACAAGAATAAGTGACAAGTGAAGCGAGCTGATTAAGGTAAAAAAAAGAAGACGGGCAGAAAAGGTGACAGAGAAGATAACCTGGGATATTAAAAGCATACTAAAACAATCTCGGACTTTAGTATGTGCCGTTTCGTTCCATTATAAAATACAATAGGAAAAAAATAAAAAAAAATCTGCTTCCGAGTTTTAGATATTCCTTTCAAATATCTAATGTTCGGCCTTTGCAACCAAGGAAATGGGCATTTCATTTAAAATGCTCGCCATCAGACAAACCGAAAGTCGCAGCTAATTCTACGCTGAAACAACTTGCAATCCGCTCCTTTAAAGTCGCAATTGTTTTTTTATGTAAAGGAAGGGTAATGTAGCTTGTACCGTCCAATACATTGAAGCATCATGTTGCTAACGATCGTGTCGCAGCGTAATTGATGCCGCGGTACGACCGCTGGCTGGTCGTAGCTGTATCAGAAATCCTATGTGCACTCCACCAAAGCGGCACCAAAGATTCATATTTTCGCGCGTGCAGCCGCGCAAGCGCACACCTTCCGGATAACGCGCCGGTGTCGACACCTGTCGCGATCAATACCACGGGCTTCACGCGAGCCCCTCCGGTCCCAACACTACCCAAGTATTCTAGTACACTATAGTGCAAGTACCGTTTAGAGCAACATGCTGATGCTTATATCTTCGGCTTCACTCGCACACTAGGTGGAACTATTATATTTATATTTTATAGCTTAATATTTTTTCAGATGTGTGACTACTCTTTTGTGTTTATTATTGTCGCCTTCGTTTTTACTACTTCTACAGACACGCTGCCTTTCACTCTCTTGGTGTTAACGTTTAGGTTTTTTGTCTTACTACTCCTATTAACGTCCACTTGTGGGGCTACGCAAGCAAATTTTTCGAACCCTCTCAAAACGCTCTTACGCTGAAGAAAAACGCTCTACTAAAACACGTTTTTGGACCTCCGCTTTCCATTCCATTTTGGCGAAGCAGGCCGCGCATGCGCAGTTTGGCACCCTCAGAGCGGAGCGGAATGTGAAAGCGGTCTACTAAAACTCTCTAATTTGTTTATGCAGCGAAACCGAAACCAACAACTAGATCCCCTGGAAACGATACCAGAAGCTGTATTTAGCACGCGTGCAGCCAAATTCTGTTTTACCCGCATGTGCAAATAGAACGTGGCTACGATTCACCAAGCTCGCCCAAGTCAAGTGACGACATCTATTTGAACGATTCGCCGGTTGTCTTCGACCCGCGGTCATCATCTCTGAGGGAAAGACCCGCAACCTCATCACCGATCCAGTGGTTCCGTCGATATATGTACCTAGATACCGCTTCGTGTACCTAATGAAAAAAACAGTGCGCAGGCGAGCTGGTGTAAGTTTACCATTTTTTAGACCACCTGAGGCTGGGTGAAAAAGTTTCTTCCACCCAGTCTCAGGGTGAAAGAGTTTCTTCCACCCAGGTCTCAGGTGGTCTAAAAAATGGTAAACTTACACCAGCTCGCCTGCGCCCTAACTGTTCTTTCATTAATTGTACCTGAGGCAGGCTTGAGACGTCGTCGTGTTTCTTCCACCCAGTCTCAGGTGGTCTAAAAGATGGTAATCGTGTACCTACTTGCCGCTTCAGAGGCGAAATCTGCATCCTTTGCTTTGCAAGCTCTCCTAATTCGATCGGTGGTCGTCGCAGTTGTGTTTGCGCGAAACGGCATACGTTTGCTCGAAGCTTATGGCTGTTTTCGAGTAATATCCTGCTAAAAGGCGTGACATTTTTGCACACGCTCGGAAACTGTAATAAAAAATTGTATTTCAGTAGGGTACAGCCTAGGACAGTGGTTCTGAACCATAGATGTTTTGCGGACCCCTTGTGGATCGGCGGAGATGATGAAGGACCCCCTTCGGGATGAGAGGGGAGGAAAGGTAGAGGTCAAATATAATAATTATTTAATAAATGAATATAACTAAGGGCTAGTGTGAAGTAGACCTCTCTTATTGATGTTCACACGAAAAACTCGCCCGAAAACTGAAACATTTCATTTCCACCTGAAAAAAAAATAAATAAATAAGACAACTTTTATTGCCGGGTTTGACTGATCAGGCAGGGTTTCGCGGACCCCTAGAAGGAATTCGCGGACCCCCGTTGAGAACCACTGGCCTAGGAGACTATTTGATTCGAAACAAAATACAAGACACCCATCGACCAACCCTCTTCTTCCCGACCATCCGACAAACCTTTGCGTTTTGTGACGTCACGCAGCAGCTACGGATGTCAGCCATTGACACTGGCGAAATTCTCGGTGCAGTTTCGTACATACGCTCATGAAAGGTTTAGTTAATAACGGAAGATCTTATATCAAAATAAAAATGTCGTTTGCCCACATGAAGGCTCCCTCGACGTAACGAGCGCAAAAACCTAAATACTTCCGGTTTCGACCGGACAATCCCTTTAAAGAAACCTGCGACGACGATAAAATTATGGTGTTATTTCAAACGTTGTTAAAACTGAAGCTCCGGCTAGTTCGTGGCACGTGCCTTTAAACGGTAGGTATGGCATACACAAACGGCAGTTACCGCTGCTGTCACCATCAGAAAAAGGTATAGCCAGCTATTTCAGAAAAAAAGAGACTCGTTGGGACTGCGTTTATGACGACGCGCTTTCTAAAAGTGCTAGAAACTGCAGGAAAAGATAACGCGCGAATTATGTGATTCTCTACAAATCGAAAGGAGAATGAGAAGCCGTAAGGTAATCTAAATTCGTACCACTCCACGCAGGATGTTATTTCGACGACCTGCTGCGACCGAAACGTTGATCCATCGAACTTCCTTCTACCAGTTGCCGGGGAATAAGTCAATGACCCGAAATGGCTGCCATGATCGTCCCAGGCCCCAAGCACATTTTTCCAGTCATCGCGCTCGTGAACAAATAAGCTAATTTTGAAATGGTAAATTGGTTTTTAAAATAAACAGTACTGATAAGAAGATGAAACTAATCACGAGGGAGGGGTGATAAGCGGACGTGTGTATGCGTCCGCTTAGAGAGAGGAAGTAACTTAAAAAAATATGGTAAAAATTAGCACGCTGTAAATCAAATTTAAAAAAAATACACCGTTTTTGTTTCTTCTTGCACGTGTTACCTCTCTTTTGTTTTACTTGACTTCTGCCACCACGCACATTAGTTCATATAAATGTTCTCTTTTGCTGTCCCACATGCATGTGTATATACACAGCGACTTCTTGTAAAAAGTTATTTTTTGGCTCCATTCACAGGCACATGTGAGAATCTGGAAAAAAAGCGGCGCCGACACGGTGCAGGAAATGTACCAGTACTAGTAACAGCCTGCACTTCTACATGATCACGACGCATTGTTTGTTCGTGCTGATTTTTTTTGCACAGTTGTATGTATGAACTCCTAGAATGCTCAACATGTTTTCCTGCTGCTTCCTGTGTAACGGGTTCCCAGACCTCGTCCCACTGATCTCCAGTGGACTTTTTGTCTGAGAGCCCCTCTGAAGGAAGCCTGTTGAGAATTGTGTTTGAAAACCCTAAACTAATGCCTGACTTTGCGAAGTTTGTTGAAATTCCAGTCCTGTCTACTTCGCCCGGTTATTCTATGTGTATTCTAAAATATACCCCAGCATGTAGGGAATTTTGTTAAATACGAATGCGAGTGATCCTTCTCGGCGCATATCCAACATCGTCATAACGAATCCCTGCTCATGAGTAAGGAAATAATAATGCTAGTGATTTAAAACGATAAAAACAGCGCCCACAAAAACGACAAGGAAAGAAAAGAGAACATTCAAAGAACTGACTTTGAAAATGAGGCATGTTTCGTCGAGTATTCGGTATAAACGTACACTTTCAAAAATAGGGTGTGCAGTACATACACACATTGTCCCATATATAAAACCTCCCAAATTACAATTCCACGTACAATCTACTGACATCGAACCGAACAAACGAAGTTCACGAGTGGCTTGGTAGTCGAGTGGCACAACATATTAAAATATCTAATGTACGCATTAAAGACTACAGGAAACCACCTATGGTTTTGCCATGGGCGAACACAGAACCCCGTTTTTTTTTTGTTTGTTTGTTTGTTTTTTTTCTGGGGGGGGGAAGTTTTGTAAGGATACTAATCTCCCACTTTTTTTTTGTGCACCGGGGGGTCCACCCATGTCAAATTGCCCTCCGAGAAGGGGGGAGGGGAAAGGGTCGACCGTGTTTGGGGGGGAGGGGGGCGGCCGCCACCGTCGCCCCCCCCCCCTCCCCCCCTTGGATCCGCACCTGGCTTTTTCTGGCACTGATGTAAAACCAGTGTTTTTTTTAAGTCTTCGATACGTTCGTTAGCTATTTAATAAGGCATATCAAACAGCTATCAAGCCGTTTGTAAAAGTTTGTATCGTCAGTCCAACGTCAGTTAACTGAACGTCGAAATGTAGTTTTGGCGCGTTATACATGGGACGAGGGATGTAAGTATACTACACCCCGCATTGCTGAGTGTATATAAGGCGCTATAAAACGAACTGGCTTATTCGGCGCCCGCATAGTGAAAGCTCGAACTTTAATCGAATATTCATGAGGTGGTGGATTTTATCTTGAGAAATTTGAAGAGAGCTTCTAGTTCCTGTGAAAGATTTACCCAGCAGACTTGCCAGTCTAACAAACGATAGTACTCGCAGACGACGAATTCAGTGATGGGTGTAACTTGAGGCTCCATCTCCCGATAGCTGAAGCAAGCAGACAACAGAGTGCGTCATCAGCTTACTGGGCCTATCAGGAGACTCCTTCTCGTTACAATTGACTAAAGGGCGATTTATTCGCTTTGCCGCTTTACTGCGATACCGCTTTTCTACTCCCGTGACGCCCCGGGAGGAATTCCGGTGTTTTGAGTTCATCGGGCACATGTGCAGATCACATCGCTTGGGCCTGATTGGTGTATACTTGAACGCTGTAAATGTATATCATCTGTTTTAAAACAGTTGCGTCTGGCGGAATATTTCCAACCTCAATAGCTGATCTACTCTGAACCCAGAAGCCGAATAGCAGTAGAACGGTCGAGTTAAACGTTACGAGGATGTCTGCTGCGAGTGAAGATGACGTGGTGGTTACGATCGAAGACATCGAGCGACTCGGAACCTCTAACTTTAATGCAACCGGCCGGGCCTTTTACAACAGCGGTATCGGACTGGAGCAGACACTTGGGGAGAACGTCGCGGCTTTCTCCAGGTATGGTAGCGCACTGCACGGGTTCACGTTTTGTGGCACGGCCCGGTCCGTGCCCGCTGAATCTTAGTCTTACTCGACCCAAACGCATGACTAGGTGAGCATCCCGAAGGGATGCTCACCCGATCATGCTCGGCCCTGACCCGGCCCAATGGGATGCTTACCTGATCTGGCCAGGCTCGGGCCCGACCCCGTGGGAACCCATGGCGTGCCTCATCTCTTAAATTAAAAGCTGACGTGGAAAGATGTTCTTACATTTGAAGTTTATTTAAAGTTTATTTGGTTTCTCACGGGCCAGGCCCGGTAGGAAGGTAGAGACAAAAGGCATTTCTGCCTGACTGGGCCTCTACCCCCCACAGTTCATTACAGCCCAACTAGGCATTAGTTGCCATAGGCGTAAGGAAAGTAAACAAAAATACATATATCTACTTAGCTACAAACATGCACACTTGTTGCACAAAATCGTAGAAATTATTTTACAAATATAAACAAGGATTAATCTGTCCTCAGATGAATACAATATTATAAAAAATAAGAAAACAATTCACAAAACGTTTTGAAATTCTAAACCTAGCTAAATAATGCCACACAAAGATGACTATCATTTGTACGACATTGATTCGTAATCACTGACGTATAATCACAAAATCATCAAAGCAGCAAAAAATTATTAAAGGAGCAAAATAAATAGAAAACAATTCGCAAAAGGTTTTAAAATTCTAAACCCAGCTAGATAATGCAACACAAAGATGACTACCATTTGTACGACATTGATTCGTAACCACTGACGTATAATCACAAAATGATCAAAGGAGCAAAAAAAAATCACAAAAGATATGTACACAAAAAGTTACAGCCATGTAACAAACACATTCGTCATTGCAATATTTGTAGGCGCAAAAACAAAACAATTTCTACTACGCGTAATATATATCGTTGTGTACAAGGGTGTGTCTGACGTTACTTTTGTATTTATTAAAAGACACTGTAAAATCAGTACGCCCTTCAAAAATGTTTAGTTATGTAGGAACCTGATCATTTAGTTTTCGTTTTCCATAATTTGCCCTGACCTTAGGAGTCTTGTGTTTGGCGTTTCTGAAAATATAGGGTTGCGGTGGCACTTCATTCATTTGATAGAGTTTTTCTTTGTATATTGTTTGCATAAGTTTAAAGTAATAAATCTGGTTTGCTTTAAGCATGTTATGTTTTGAAAAATATAGACTGCTATAAAAATCACGAACATTTCCTTGATAGTTTTCGAAAATGCGCAAAACCTTTTTCGGGAGAATAATTAATTTGCTATAATTTGTGGAACTGGTTGTCCCCCATGCCATAATTCAGTAACAAAATTTTGAGTAAAACAAAGAGTAATATAAGTTTTTGATAAGCCACTTTGGTAATAAATTTGCTATTTTATATATACAGCCTAGTGTTCCCGATAGGTCCCCTTTTAATTTGTTTACGTGAGTGTTCCAAGTAAGTGTTTCATGAAACCAGACGCCAATAAACTTTTGTTCTATAACCTGAGATATGGGAGTGCTATTATATATCAGATGTATTACACTATTGTCGTGCTTATTGATAGGTCCAAATATAATATACTTTGTTTTGTCCGCATTTAGTTTAAGCGTGTTTGTTTGCAGCCAGTCTGAAAGTTTTTGAAGATAATCATTTGCCTGTTATTATAAGGACGGTTTTCTATTGCTGCAGAAGAAAACATTGGTATCGTCAGCGTACATCACCATATGTGGGAAATTTGTGATGTCTGTTATGTCATTTATATATATGAGAAACAGTAGAGGGCCCAGTATTGAGCCCTGGGGCACTCCATGTTTTATTTCTAATTGCTGAGAAGCGGCGTTATTGACATGTAGAAACTGTTTACGATTTCGGAGGTAGGACTTGATTAGGTCAGACGCTACGCCACGTACACCACACGTCTGAAATTTTGACAGTAAAATATTGTGTTGTATCGAATCAAAGGCCTTGCTCAAATCTAGAAATAACCCGAGTGTATATAGTTTATTTTCGGTGTTGGTTATAATTATGTCTTTTATATTCGTAAGAGCAAGTTCAGTCGATTTGTCCCTTTGAAAACCATATTGAGATCTAGTGATTACGTTGTATCTTGAAAAAAAAACCTTTGCAATCTAACGTTTATCATGCTTTCAAATATTTTTGAGAATATTGGCAGAATAGATATTGGTCGGTATTTTTCTAGGTCATTTTTGTTTCCCCCTTTATGCACCGCACTAACCCTTGCGACTTTGAGTTCGCCTGGATATATTCCTCTTTGTAACATGTTGTTTATAATATGTGCCAGGACTGGGCTTATTATAATTGACACCATTTTAACTGGCAAGGGTTTTATTTCGCCAGCCCCAGCCGCTACACTTGTCTTTATATTTTTTTTTATCAAATTACTAACTTCGCATGGGGATGTAGGCTCGACCATTATAGGGCTTGAGATATTTGTAGTTCTATTTGTGGAACTGGTTTTACTATCAGTTTCCTTTTCTCGCGGAGCACCAACGTTTATAAAATTCTCATTCAGGGTATTTGCAAGTTCCTCACCACCTATATTTCTATCGTTTATAGTTATGTTATCCACACCACACCGGACATAGTCTTTATTTGTTAAGCTATTAACCATTTCCCACTCTTTCTTCGGGTTATTGTAAATACTATCAAACTTGCTCAAAAAGTATTCAAATTTTGCCCTTTTAAGGTCGGAACTAAGCTTATTCCTGATTTTTTTATTTTTAAATTCACTCCGCAGCGCTTTATCACGCGACCTCACGAAACAATGCTACATGTTATATTTTATTCTGATTCTCTTGTATAGGTCGTCGTCCACCCATGGCTTACGGAGTTTGGGTTTTGACTTTTTTCCCTGTACTATAGGAAATGCACAATCATATAACTTCTTAAATTCACTTAAAACTTGCTATAAGCAGTGTCTGCTCTTTCTTCTAAGTAAACGTCTCTCCAATCAAAACTCTTACCGAGTTCATGAAATATGCTATGTGTTGTTTCATTTATTTTTCGGTAGCAGTAATTAACTGGGTCAATTTTTTTGCCTTTTTTCGGACGGCGGCTTAGGCAGAAAATGGGCAGGTGGTCACTAATGTCCTGTGTGCAAACTCCAGGGTACAGCACAGTTTGCTATACATAACGTTTATTTATGTGGCACCCTCGCTTGTTATTCTGGTTGGTAGCGATATCACGTTTGAACATTTATAGGACAAAATGAGGTCATTTAAATCGGTCGTGTGAGACTCATTTGCAAGTGCGTCGATGTTTATATCACCCATAACCATAAAAGAGTGCTTCGTTAAACAAAGAAAATTAAGCAGGTTGACAAAGAAATCAAGAAACATGGATTTGTTTCCTGTGAATGGTCTATATGGAGCAACAACAAACATTGTTTCCATGCGAACAACTAGACACTCAATATTTGCATTGATTACAGAATATTTGTTCACAACAGTAACAGAAATAGAAGACTCTAGATATATCGAAATTCCACCTCCTCGTTTTTTATCGTGGTTTAAATTTACGCAGTTGTAATTCGCAAAACTTGGCAGTATCTCGTCTTCTCGCAGCCATGTTTCCGTAAACAACAAGGCATCAAAGCGCAAGCAGAGGGAATCGAAAAAGAAATCATGGGCGTCTTGTTTCTTTCTTATACTTCTGGTATTTAGATGAATTGCAGAAAAACATGGCTTGTAATTTCCGTATCTATCATTGAATTGCTCACTATTAAAGTATTTATGTCACTCAGCATACGTAAAGGTGATTAAACAGTATCAAATGACGAATGCGAAAGCTAAACGTCTTCGCCATTCTTTCCAAATCAGCCGTACACACAATCTTGAAAACATTCAAGCCATCATACTTACGCGCAAACACTTTTTCACCCGTAGTCCAGACGTAAGGAGTGTCCGCTTACGTCTGGACTGATTTCTTTAGCCTGATCTATAGATTTGTATAGCCTAATTCGGAAAAAATCTTTTATTGAGAGATGTGGGTCGACCAGGTCAGTCTATTCAATGACAATTAAAGCCCCAAAAGGCGGTATAACAAAGAATCCTTGCAACCTGTGCAAGGATTCTTCGAAGAATCCTTGAAGAATCCTTGTAATCATTGGTGAATTGCGGTGGAGATCGTAATTTTTGTTTTTCAGCTCGAATTATGTCTAACGTGTCCTTTGCCAACGCCAGCGTGTAACTATGATAAACCTTGGCGGCATTAAATCAAACTTGGTAAGCAATCCGCTACAAGTAACCGATTACTTATAATCCGTTACTTTTTCAAGTAATTTTATAATTGCAACGTTACTTTTTCTCCAAAATGATTTGTAATGTAATTTCGTTACAAAATATTGGTAACGAATTACTTTAAGTACTCGTTACTTTAAAAAAATAGGAGCATAATACAGTAACTGTAGCAATACGAGCAGAACATTCAGCGGTATAACGAGAGCAAGTTCAACAATATAAAAAACACCAGGAAGGGAAACATTGCCGAAAAGAAAACACGGCTTTTTATGTATGATCGGTAAATAGAACCACTAGAGAAACGGGCAAGGCTTGTACAAATATACGAAAAACAAATGTTAAGTAAGACAACGCCGAGTAAGCTCTCCGTCACCTTCCATCGTGTGGTTCTTCTTCTCCCTGGTAGGAGAAAGCTCTTCGTGTTTATTTGTTTTTGTCTTTTACACCGTTTCACCCTTTCCAACTTCTTCGACGTCTCCCGCGACCTGCACGGACATCAAACGCGAGTCCGTGCCCCCTCAAATAGCGGGTTCACAACTCGCGTAACAGACGATGTTGCCTCGTGCGAGGGGGTCGAATTCTTTTCGTCTTTGATGTGCGCTATTATATTCTAGCACGCTCTTGAGGCACGGCTGAAAAGCGCCCGGCGCCAGGCTAAGAGCGTCGTCTTCGAGGGCACAGACGATATTTTTCAAGGTTTACTTGCGTAGACATGGTGGTCGA